CAGCAGACAGAACTCCCTCCAGAGGCTCTGCTGGATCCTAGAAGACGCAGTTCCCTGTGGCACCGATGGCCCAAATCTGGAGAAGCTGCATTATCTATGGAATGCATGTGTTTAAAGTTAATGATAAACAAATTCTTTCATGTAGCCTTGCTCAGATCAATCATTTACCTGGAAGGCATTCTCCAGTACTGTCCGGGAGGCCATTTTCTTCTCCCTGGAAACCAAAAAGCAACATTCATTAGAGCCATACCCACAGTGGGACACAGACAGCACTGATTTTTTCCAAAACCTAAGGAAAACAGGTTCTGAGCAAACCCTGCTTCCCTTTGGGGCTTTTGTCTGACCTCTCACTGGGCTGGGTCCCTGGTACCCAGGACAGTGCTTGGCACACACCAGACATGCAAAGTTGTTGCTATTAGTGCCACTGAGTGGCCTGCACATCAGAACCTCGTCCTTTCCTGCTTCATTCCAACATGCTCGAGGCCACTGTTCCAATCACTGTGTCAATCCGGCTTGTTGACTGTGTCAATCCGGCTTGTGGAGGGTCTTCTTTCTCTAACCGTTCACCTTTCCCAGCATGATGTCTCTTTCCAAGGACTGGACCCTCCTGACATCATACCCAAAATATGTGAGATAAAATTCCACCATCCTCACCTCCAAGGAGAACTCTGGTTGTATTTCCTCCAAGATCTATTTGTTCTTATGGCAGTCCATAGGATATTCAGTGAGGACCCTTCTTCTTTATTGACTGTCTAACTTCCCGATGCATAGAAAGGCCTGGATCAGGTGTATCTTATTCTTTAAACTGACATCAGTTCATGTTAACATCTTAGAGAGGTCCATGACTGTGGTACACACTGGACATGTAATACGGCTCTCTTTGTTAGGTGTTGACAACTCACAGCTGCCCTGCGACCAAAAGACCCGAGCCCGCTTTTTCCTGCGCCAGCCTCACCATCTCTGCTATGCTCGAGCCCACTGTCACAATCATCGTGCTGATCCACCTTGTTGGGGACATTCTCTTCCTCTGACCCTTCGCCTTTTCCAGCATGATATCTCTTTCCAAGGACTGGGCCCTTCTGACAACATGCCCCAAGTACGTGAGATGAAGCTTCACCATCCTCGCCTCTGAGCAGCACCCTGGCTGCACCTCCTCCAAGACAGATTTCATCGGTTTTTTTTTAGTTCAAGGGGCATTAGTACTCTTTACCAGTATCACAATTCAAGTGTTTCAATTCTTCTTTGACATTAGTGAGATATGTAAGAGATACTTGATAAATGAGGTATGGTCCCTATGAAAGTGCAGGGGAGCCCTTGTGGCTTAATCCATTGGAGTTGTGATGCTATACCAAAGACTGTCCCTTTGGCAGTTCATATCCACCAACCACCCTACAGCAGGAAGATGGGCCATCTCCTCCCATGCCTTTAGGAACCTGAAACCCAATGAAGGGTCAGCTGTTAGTTGGTTCCAACTCGACAGGAGAGAGTGAAGGAGGGAGGGATTAAAGTATAACGAGCCCGGCGGTGCCATGGGTTAAGGCCTGGTCTGCTAATTGAACCCCTGAACCATTCCACAGAAGATGAAGACGTCTGTATGGCATTGGGATCCTACAGGGCAGAGTTCATGCACAAGATGGTGTACTGCTGTTTCCTTTTTCTTTTTAGATTTGGTTCTCTCTCTACTCTGTGGTATTGGAGAAGAGTACTCAATACCCTACACACCGCCAAAAGACAAACAAGTCTGTCTTCGAGTAAGACTAACCAAAGTGTTTCTGAAAGACAAGGATGGTGAGAGGTCATCTCACACACTCTGGACATGTTGTCAGGGAAGGCCAGTCCTTGGAAAGGCTGTCATGCTGGGTCAGAGAAAGAGCGGAAGACCCTCAGGGAGACGGATCGACACAGCAACCGTAATGGTGGACTCCAGTGTGTTAGAGATGAGGAGGGTGCCACAGGACAGCGCAGTGCTCAGACGCCTTCACAGGGTCACTAGGAGTTGTAGTCAATTCTATGGCACCTAACAACATACAATAAAGATTTTTTTATTATTATTAAGGATAGTTTCATCCTTTCCTTTCCCCTCCCTTCATTAAGGACAGCACAGCACTGTGAAAAGAATGTAGGCATTGTGATCAGACCTGTCTGTGAGTCTTGCCTCCACTAGCTTCAGGGACAAAGGTCACAGGGCCACCATGAGCTGTGGTTGATTTGATGGCACTGAACAGCTACAACACCACTTGAGTTAGGCCTGGGTTTCCATTCTCCGTCTAGGACATCATCCTTTCCCTGGTCTGTTGCACCTCTGGATTTAAGTGTGTTTACAAAATGACAGAAACAAACAGCTCAAGAGAAGTGTCTAAATCTACTGAGACTTAATTGGGTTTCTGTCACAAGATCATCAGAGAAGCAGCTCGTTTGACTGGGATGTTGCTGGCATTACTGACATGTCCTGTAGTGTACGTGACTGCGAGGGATGCTCTGACCTGCTCGGAGAGGGTGAGTTTTCTTAATGAAGTCAGCACAGGACACCAATCTCATATGTTGTGTTTGCACCATCTTCATACAACAGAGATCCCTCTTTGAAACTAACGCGTCTGCTGAAGGAGCACTAGATGGGGGTTTGAAGCCTGGGCTTTGGTAGCTGCACCGATTGCCTCAGTCACTGAGTGACTGAGGGGATGCTGGATTAGGATCTCTTTCAGGTGCTCTATTTGAAGGTGTTGGGGCTTTATCCTTTCAAATAAGCTAAATGCATGGTTTGGTTGAGTTTTGAATAGTTTCCTCTCTTTTAAGAAGCTATTTCTCACCCAGCTCATAAATTACCACGTGCCAGCCCTGCATATAGACTTATCTAATCACAAGCCTCATTTTTTTTTGCACACAAGAAATAATCTCATGTCTTTAGCAGCTATGGTTCCCCCTGCCTTCAGCTAATTGGAACAGATATGTCTTGGAAAAGGTGCAGTCAGAGTGCTCCTTGGAGGCAAAGATGATAAACCTTCATCTCACATACTTTGGGCATGTTACCAGGAGAGGCTACTCCTTGGAGACGGATGTCAAGTTTGGCAAGGTGGAGGGTAGGCAAAAGGGAGGAAGACCCTCAACCGGATGGACTGACAGTGACTGCAGCAATGTGCTGAGTGCATCAGAGATTTTGAGTACGGCACAGGATCGGATCTGATGTTCAGATCTATGGTTCGTAAGTTCACTATGAGCTGTACTCAACGAAAGCTAACAACAGCAATCAGAGCAATTCTTCTGTTTGAATTGTCTTCCCTGCTACTGCTGCTGCTGGAACAAAACCCAGTTGCTCATTATAGTCAAGCAGCTTCTGTATCTGAAGTCTTGTTGTTGCTGCTGTTTGGTGCTGTCAAGTCGACGATGACTTGTAGCAATCCTAAGAACAGAACTGAACCTTGCCCAGGATGTGGCACCATCTCGTCATCCCGGATACTCGAGCCTGTGTTACAGTCACTGTGTCGATCCGTTCCCTTGAGGTCTTCCTCTCTCTCACTGACCCTCCACCCTTCCCAGCACTTTCTCCAGGCACTGGCTGCCCCTTACAACATGCCCACAGTGTGTGAGATGACGTTTCACCGTCCTTGCCTCTGAAGAGCACTAGAGTTGAACTTGCTCCAAGAGAAACGTGTTCCTTTGGCAGTCCCTGGGGTAGTCAGTACTCTTTCTCCAACATCACAACTCAAAGGCAGCCATTCTTCTGTCATCCTGATTCACTGTCCAACTTTCAGATGCACAGACTGTAAGTGAAAAGGCTATGGCTCGGATCAGGGGCACCTCGGTCTTTAAACTGACGTCCTTGTTCTTTAGCACATTTACCTTATTTAGTACTTATTTAGGGAGGAGGGGGTGTGTGAGAGAGAGATATTAGAGAAGAGGCAAAGAGAAGGAGTGAGTGTTAGTCTGTGTGGAAGATTACAGAACATCTCTGAAAGGATAAGAACTTCCCGTCTGCAGTCTTCTGCTTTTACAAGGCTAACCACAGCAGCTCCCAGGGCCGCTGTCCCCACAACATTCACCCCCCAGCAGGTCGTGTGGAGTCCTGCCTGCACACAGCTGCGAGCCCCCAGCAGGATCAGGCAGGCATGCCACATGACGGGAACAGTCCCCAGGGAAATGGAGACCGAACTAGAGAGGCAGAAACAGTACTTCAGGCTGCCAAGGTACAGATCTGGTATTCATAGGGTCACTATGAGGAATGGTCAACTCAATGCACCTAACCATAACCACCCCCAGCAGGCACTGGTCAGTGGTGTGGATGGATGGACACACATAGCATTCTTTTTCTTTTAGTTTTATGTGTTAGCAGCTAAATGTGTATCAGAAAATGGACTTTCTGGTGGTTTATTTCTCTCTGAGAAAAGTTACTGGATTTCCCCCAACTTGACGTTGGTGACGAATATAGCCTCTCCTACCGTTGTTCTCACCAGATGGGCCATGCTTGCCTCTTTCCTGTGCAGTGTCTTGGGTATACTACCCCCTAGGAAACAGTCATGCATGTTTTCCCATCCTTTGCCAAATCACATTACCTTAGAGTATCTGTTAAAGACTGTTGAACAGAACTTAAAGCAAGGAATATAAGATTCTATTAAATAATTTTCTTTAATAGAGGTAATGTTTACTTATGTAAAGGAAAAGAAGACAGATTTAAAAATATTGTGGGGTTCTGTGTGTTGGTTTTTTCCTATTCATAAGGTGTTTATTGAGCACAAGCTTCACAAGTGAGTGTGTGAATAGGACAAGCTGGGCCTGGCAGTTAGGTGGGCAGGTAAGAAAGGACCTGAAGACCCTTTTTCCCCACAGGAGCTGTTTCAACTATGCTGTCAGGCTTTGTTCCCCAATAGCCCCTGGGGCCTCAAGTTCAGCCTGGGTCTCCATTCCCTTGTGAAAGCGGGGCTCCAGGATCCTCCCTGTGCTAGCCTCCAGTGCAGAAGTGAAGGGACTACAGGACGGAGGTGAGGGTTCTGAAAACTTCCCGGCACCTTTGGAACCTGCACCTCCTTTGTGGTGGTGCCCTGGGTACTGTGTCTTCAGTTTGTCCAGCCGGACAAGCTTCTTGCCAGCTGAGCTGTGGGTGGTGTAGCTGTAGACAGAGGTGTAGCCCTGTCTGGGGAGCAGGCAGAAGTGGCAGGTGTGGGCACACGTAATAGCACTGGATGGGGCATGGCACCTGGCTGGCCCCATCTTTGAGCACGTGGGACTGGTAGATGGCCCAGGACTCACTGCTGTGTTTATAGAAGAAACACAGGAGTTCGGGAGTCAGCGAGGATTCTGGGCTGGGTCTCCAATCTGCTAGAGCTGGAACTGGCTCTGGCTGGGGGTCCAGCCTGGTCTTGGGCTCCTTCTTCTCATGCAGAGCCCCATCAGGCTTGCCAAACCCGGGGAGTCTGTCTACAAGTTGAAAGTGCTCATAGCTGCAGGTCAGGCAGAGGGCACAGAGAGACAGGACTGTTGTTTTGAGGTGTCATCCAGTGCAGTAGAATGCCTAGCAACACTGTGAATAACAGATCACAACCCTGTCCCATCCTGCTCCACTCTCATGCTCACACCCACTGCTGCAGTCACTGTGTCACGCCACCTTGTGGAGGGTCTTCTTCTCTATCTCTGACCCTCCACCTTCCCCAGCATGGTGTCTGTTTCCAAGGACTGGTCAATCTTGACAGCATACCCAAAGTGTATGAGATGCAGTTTCACCAACCTTGCCTTTAAGCATCACCCTGGTCACAGACTTGTTGCTTCTGGCAGTCCATTCAGTACTCTTCCTCAGCACAGTGATTCAGAGTCATCAATTCTTCTTTGGTCTGTCTTACTCACTGTCCAACTTTTAGATGCATATGAGTAAAATACTATGGCTTGAGTCACCTGAACTTTAGTCAAAATACATACCTAATGATTAATATCACCAAATGGTATATTCCAAGCAAAGGAACAGCTGAGTCATATGGAATTTCTGCGTTCAGCTTTTTGAGGAAGCAACAAACTGCCTTCCAGAATGGTGTACCATTTTACAGTCCCGCCAACAGTGTGTAAGAGTTCCTAGCTCTCCACATCCTCTCCAACATTTATTACTTTCTGTCTTGTTAAACTTTGCCACTGCTACTGGAGTGAGATGATATCTCATTGTAGTTTTGATTTGCCTCTCTTATTGCCAGTGATTTGGAGCATTTCTTCATATGTCAGTTGGCCATTTGGATATCTTCCTTTGTGAAAATTCTTTCCATGTCTTTTGCCCATTTTGTAATTGGGTTATCTGTTTTCTTCTTGTGGAGGCCCTAGTGTATTCTATAAACTTTCAATATGAGACTCTTGTCTAAGATGGTATTGCCAAATGTTTGTTCCCAGTTGGTAGGTTTTCTTTTCACCCTGTTGGAAAAAAACTTTTGATGGGCACAGGGATCTAAGCTTCAGAATCCTTGCCTCCAAGGAGCAGTCCAGTTTAACCCTCTCCAGGATTAACTTGTTTGTTCTCCTAGCAGTCCATGATATAATTCAATACTCTTCTCCAGCACCACAGCTCAAAGGCATCAACTCTCCTTCTATCATCCCTAGTCACTGTCTGGCTCTCTAACGCATAGCAAGTAATTGCAAAGACCATAGCCTGTATCAGGTGCACCTTAGTCTCCAGACTGACATCGTCACTCTTCAGTACTTTGGTGAGGTCTCTGACAGCAGACTTTCCCAATGCAATGCTTCTTTTAATTTCCCAGCTGCTAGTACCAAGAGTGTTGATTGTAGAGCCAAACAAACCGACACTTTCAACAATCTTAATCTCTTCACCATCTATCATGATGCTGACAATCGGCCCAGTGGTGAGAATCTTTGTTTTCTTGATGTTGAGCTTCAATCTATATTGAAGGCTGTAGTCCTTGACCTTCTGCAGCAAGTGCTTCAGGTCCTCCTCAGTTTCAGCAAGCAGAGTTGTGTCATCTGCACAAAGCAGATTGTTGATGTGTCTATCTCCAATCCTGATGCCACACTTCTCCTCATAGAGCCCAGCCTCTCGGATAATCTATTCTGCATATAGATTGAAAAGATATGGAGGTAGGACACATCCTTGACACACACCCTTCCCAATTTTGAACCATGCAGTGTTTCCTTGCTCTGTTCTGATGACTGCCTCCTGGTTCAAGTAAAGGTTTTGCATAAAATTTAAAAAGAAATATATCACCAAATGAAAGGGAGAAGCTGCTGTTTTATCTGTTGACAGTCTAGCAACAACTAATTAAAGTCTTTGGAATTAAGCCAGTCATTCAAAAACAAAGTTCCTTGTCAGGGTACAGAGAGTAAATGGGGGGGGGGACACCCATTGCATTCTGAAGCCACAATTCCACAGGCATGCTCATATATTGAGAATATTGTAGAAAAAAACAGGATGGCAGCCTAGATAGACATGACCCATCTATTTTAAGCCAGAAATCGTAATGATTACTTAAGTCCCAAGAACTTGGGACTTAATCTTGGGCCAGTGCAAAGCCAGGAAGTTTGAATCCGCCGGCTGTTCCATGAAAGAAAGCCGGTTAATCTCTGCCTGTGAAATTAAAACCTCTGAAAACCTGCTGGAGAGTCAGCTATGAGTCACAATACTCAAAGGCCAATGAGCAAGTGAGTACTGATTCCCCAAAAGTTTTGATGGTGTAGCGGGCACTTGGCCATTTACTGAAAGGTCAGTGGTTTGACACCACCAGCTGCTCCATGGGAGAAAGATGTGGCAATCTGTTTTATGATACAATCTTGGAAACTGCCTGGGGCACAATGGTCATGCACTAGGTCCTGAGCTGGAAATGAGTTCACAACAGTGGGTAAGAATGAGTTGCCAGCGGAACAGGAATCTTAGATCTCAACACACACACACACACACACACACACACACCCCCTTAGGTGTGACCCTGACTTGTCTCTGTCTCTCACACACCTCTTAGGTGTGACCCTCACCTGTGACATGGACTCCTACATCACCTCCTTCCTTTTCTGTCCTTGTCACTCTGATCTCTTAGCATTGTCTCTTGTTATTATGACTGATGGCCCTCTAGGCCCTTTCGTTTGTGACCTATCTCCTAAGCTCTGTGCCACCCATTGCAATTCAGACAAGTGGCTTGGCTTTGTGGGTCCTGACAATATAAGTGGGCCTCAGGCTTGGAGTCCCAGCTTGAGCAGTGGGCCTCTTTAAATGCAAGGCTCAGGTCTGTTGTTCACATGGTTGCTATGAGTCACTGTCAACTTCATGGCACCTAACAAAAGCATCAGCAAAGCACTTGCTTCTCTTTCTTGCCTTGCCTATATCTGGGAAGATCTGAGGCTTTCCTATAGTGCTGGTAATGATCAAGTTCAACATTACTGTTAGTTGCTGTCAGTTGACCCCAGGTTCATGGCATCCCCATGCCCAACACAATGAAATTCTGCTCAGTCTGGCATCATCACCACAGTCAGTTGTGAAACAGACTGTGTGATCCACAGTCTGGTTTTGGAAGGAGATTGAGAACCCTTTCTTTCCATCCCATCTTAGTCCAGAATCCCCCTGAAGCCTCTTAAGGTCTTAACAGCTTGAGGCCTCCCTGGCAGAAGGGTGCCGGCTGTGTCTCTACATGGAAAATGTGATTAAAGCTACTAGGATACAACTGATATAAAGAGATACTGATGCTTGCTTCAAATAGGACTGAGGAGAAGTTGGCAAAATCTCACCCAGCAGCCTTGCTGGCCTGGCTGGATAATGTCGCACTGAACTACAAGCTTAAAATAATTAAGTACGTTCTAATAACAGGGAACCGTGCTTGCTGTAGATGCTATCTTATGTAAATCAGCCCACCAGGCCCTTACCTGCAGCCCTTGACAGGCAACAATCCTTTCAAGCTCCAACAAGATCTGTCTCATAGATTACTGAGTCCTTTTGCTTCTCCTCTAAAGGCAAATCAAACAGTTCTTACTTCATCCCTAATGGGAAGTTAGGAGATCATGGAATCCATTCCAATGGGTAACATCAGAAGACAGGGGGAAAAAAGATTCACTACTGGTTTCCAGCGATCACCCGGCCAAGGCAGGGAGCCCTGGTGATGAGGAATTGTGCTGCCAACCCAAAGGTACACAGTGTGATCCAGCAGCTACTCTCTGAGGAAGGACTGGCAAACTCCTCCAGTGTTATTTACTGCCTCGGAAAACCTGCTAGAGGGTCAGCTGTGGGTGGGTTCTGACTTTATGAAACTCAACAACGAGGTCATAACAGGGTTCTTGACACAGAGCTGCCTGGACATTCAGAGATGGGAGAAGGACCTCTAAAACCTTTCCATCCCATTACTGTGGAAGCTCCTCATTCTATCCCAGGAATGCAGACATTGTTAAGTCCATGTGACATCACTAAGTGTGACATCATTCTCCTGATCTCTCTGTTCTGCTCAGCCACCTTCCACATCAGACTCTAGAGCTGCTTGTCACATCCTTAGTCACATGGTCTAGGATACTGCATTACATCAGAGACATCAACCACTTACTAGTAAGTGAAAAGTAAATGGATAGTGTCTGAGTAAACTGGCAGACTAGACAGCAGTTCAGGCCCTCTTCACCTAACCAGAAAACAAAGATAACAGATACACATGATAATTCTGGAACTTCCTGTTTAAAAAGAAAAGGCAAGGAAGTACTTTAAATACAGACCCATGGAAGAAAAGGAATGGAAACACCAAATAAGGAGATTGATGTAATATGAAACCTTAAACAGTGAAGTGTGTCCATTCTGAAGAGATGTATATTTAGCATAGGGAGCTCTGGTGAGCTAGTGGTGAGGAGCTGCGTTGTCAACCTGAAGGCATGAGGTTCAAATCCACCAGTTGCTCTGTCAACTCCCATGTGATCAGATGCCTCTGAAAAAACCCACTGGAGGGTCAGCTATGGGTCAGTTCTATCTCACTGGTACATAACAATAACAACCACCTCAGGATAGGAACTTGGGACTGCAATGGTATACATGCCAACAATTAGATGATGATGGGGAAGAAATCAGCAGTGTCCAGCCACACACACCCACCTCCCACAGTTTCACCCACCAGGCAAGACTAAAGACCGGCTACTGCTCCACCTGGTCTGTACAAGACTGCAAACAGCATCAGCCCAGTCTGCCCTCAGCTACTACTCTACATAATGGTGAACTGAGAACTGCACATAAACCCTCATCAGATCAGGAGGTGCAACATTAGGACCAGCAAGCAGCACAACTCTACACAGCTCAATCAGATAAAACAAAACAAACAAAAGACACCACTACCTAATGTCTAAGTTGTTATGTGCCGTCGAGTCGCCTGCGACTCATAGTGGCTCTATGCACAACAGCCCTAAACTCCGTTGTATCCTGAGCCAATCTTATTGTCTCTGACACACCTACCCCATTACCCCAGTCAATGAAT